AGGTACTTGCACGTTGTTCTTTAGCCAGGAAGACCCCCAGATAGTTGATTTGATGATTCCCTGCCTTCCAAATTGCAATCAAAAGAAGAGACAAAACAGTGGTAGCTGGGATTGAGGGAAGAACTTTCAATTCATTGCTGGAACTGAAGTATGTCGAAGCTATACACAGTTGTTCTTTTATTCTGAGACCATAGCAGTAACTCGAAATAAATTCAAAGAGTCATGTCTTTAGTAATGGCTTCCTCATCGTAAGATAACCTAACAGTTGCAAAATGTGTTGGTCCTGAAAGATGGGCAATGTACAGCAACAAGAACGAGGCCATTGTACTTGATGATTATGTCTTCTTCTTTTGTTTGACAGTGACTTCTTTGGAACGAAGCCTCAAATCCCTTGGGACACCAAGCGACACACCAGAACTGCGGGATGCACTGTGAGTCTCTTCCAATGGTTATGATTATCTGCTACACTCTGTTCTATCAACTTCCAGCCTGGAAAAAATCCTTATTATCCTTGTATTTTTGGCACTCCACATAGACCGTGCTTTTGTAGCATACCCATCATGATGATTTTATCTCCAATGGCCAAACATGTCCCCTGGCCAAATATACTTCGATATGAGCTTGCTTGTGAAAACCAGTCCTCCCATTTGCATTATTGGGGGTCAGCTGGTACTGACCACTTTGCTCTCCCCTCCCTCCTTTTCCCATCATGTATGTGTGCATATACGTATTGCCATCTAAGGTGCCTTTAGTCAATGCCATATTGTTGTATGGAGGTGTTGTAATATTGATATACTGATCTCTGATTACCCGCATAAACATTTCATTAAAAATATACCAGTAGCGAATTTGAAATTGAAAATTTGACTGCGATCAAGTCCACTTTCAGCCAGAAATGATAATATGAGCTGCTGACCCTGATAATCTCCCACTAACATGTTTGGGTCTCCCCAAACTCTCCTTGTTGATGACAGATCATGATTTTAAAATATCTGAAACTCATTTGGATTTTTGGACATAATGTTTTGTAAATGGCAGAATGTTTTGTGAATCATTCCCAACATATTGTGTTGGGATAGCAGACAATACAAGGTGAGTATCTCTTTCTTTCTTTGTCTAGACAGGCCCCTAGCCCTCTGTCCCTCTTACTTCATTTGGCTTTTCATACATTTAACTCTATGGTTGCTCACTGACATCAAATTGATTTTGGGTTATGATGATCCTGTGAACGAGAGACCTCCAAGTTGTCCTTTTATCAAGAACTCTGCCCAAGACTCGCAAACTCAGGGCAGGAGTGACTTGAGAAACTGCAGGT